TGGGGTGTGACTCAGCCTTCGATGAACTCAGCTCCTGCCTAAATGAATAGACCGAGTTATCACTTTTAATATGTTTTTTGGCAATCACGGGACGGTGACGTGCCCGCCCATTCCGCAAAAGTAGCTTTCACATGAAAGGTGCGAATCAGCCAATAAACTATGCAACACTATACATCAGATTATTCCCGAATCCACTACAGTACCGTGCTTTCTATATTTTGCGCATACTCTGTGTGTTTCCACCATCCACCAAAGTAAACGCCATTTGAAGCCATAATGTCTCCTCGCTCCTAATTTCTGTCTAACCAGGTGCGCGATTTGCGAGGTGACCAGCCGCTTTGATCTCATTGCAATTTGTTGCGACCGAACGAGCTGATCATTCGTGTAAACAATGCTCTGTGTACCTCTTTCTGAAACTAGATACTCGCTAATTTTTTTAACATTCGAAAATCCCGCTGTTTTTTTTAAATCTAGAAACAAGCCAAACGCACGCTACATGCATTGAAAGAAAGTGAATTCTTGAGCTGAAGCGCGCCCGCCTCACTGTGGACGATTTCATCCCCCTTAAGATTATCGGCAAGGGGGCTTTCGGCGAGGTAAGTTGGAGCAATGTGGCATTCGAAGTTGTGCTATCCGCACGACATAACTGAATTCAACGGACACAATTGCACTTGTTAGTGCATCCCAGACTTCTGGCCTGACCGTCATGGTTATTATCTCTATAATTTTGTGGTTCAAACGCTGCCTAGATCCGTTCAATGACTCACTTTCATTCTTTGAACTTTGCGAGTGAGATTTAAGATGAAAGAAACATTGCTTTCTTGGACATATTACTTAAGCAGACTTCTCACACCATCGAAACATTTTTTCGAAAAACCACTTGGATTAGCCATTAGACGCGCCCAATAAAAGTTTGTGGCCCAGAAACGTTGGAAAACGAAAAGAACCGAATCTTCAGGACACTACAAGATGACGATTACCCCGCTCCTTTCATTAAGAGACGCTCTTTATGATCCGTGACTAAGGAGAAACGATCTGACCTTCACACGCAAAACTTCCTTCACAAATGCCAATATCAAGAAAGAAAATTTCGACGAAATAATCTGAATCAGCTATTTCATGTGTTCTCGTCAGCCGGTTTACAAACAGTTCGTGGGAGGATTAGGTTGCTTACAGAGACTATGCACAACATCAGTTGATGAATTAATGTCGGTCAAAGTTCATCTGATGCTGGTTGGCCATTCCGCTTTAGAGGAATGTGGCCACTAGACTCACCAAGTCAAGGCGAGACTGTCTACGAACTCGGTCTGTTTACAGAGAATAGAGAGAGAGAGAGAGGAGAGAGAGTACAACTGCTTAATCGCTGAAGACAGCAAACCGAAGCAGGCGGGAGGTGCTCTGTCGGTTGTTTTATTCTAAATGACTCACGCGGGATTTTCACACATGGAACAATCAAACTATGTGTCGGGTGATGGAACTAGTAGGCACGTTCGAACCATTCGCGACGAGGTTGCTTGAAATATGCCCCAAAATTGTTATTTGGTCGTGGAGTGCCCCGCTGTCTGTCCTGGATTGGGACACCTCAGTCCTCGATTGAGGCTAAAGTTTACTTTGAAACAAACCTGCGTCATTTCCGATAACTGGAACGGCATCCTGAAGCCGGAGGTGTTTCCCCTAGCTTGCTCTGTCCCCACGCCTTGCAACTCCACGACCGGCCCGGGGGTTTCGTCCTCCTCTTGGACTCGTAGATAGGGATTGCTTGAGCTTTGTGGCGTTTTCGTTTTGGTCAATAGGGCCAAAAACTCCCACAGCAGCGTTGGACACAGTGGTTAGAAGTTGAATGTTGGGGTTTCGGGAGTTCAGCACTAACGCCAGTACACAGTACAGACGCTTGGCTGCCACGCAACGACCACCAGTCGCTCTTGGGCTGATGATGCTGCGAGGGTCACCCGGTCCCCTACGCAGGCTCGTATCCGCGTCCTCGGATTTCAAATCCGGCTTGTGATTCTTAAGGCTACGGGTCGGCTTTTCATTGTAATACGAGACACGCTTGCATAGGCATGACCAGGGTGATATAATCATGTACAGCACTATGTTCAAAAGCTGATTATAAAGATCGGAAGCCGTTCACTTATGGTCATCTGAGAGAACACGTGTGACACAAGGAATTAGACTGGGATGTTTTGTTCTGATTAAGCGGAACACGCGTCAATGTTGCTTGATCAAGTGTTTTGGAAATTGAGCTCATCGTCGTATCCATTACAAGCAGATAACTATTTCTAAACCTGTTGCAATACAAAATATGTTTTGCGATGTTTGTATCCACATAGATAGGTAGATAGATAAATCGATAGATAGGTCCGCGGCTGTCACCCATGGCGAAGTAGCACTAGCTGCTGGCGTCCTGAAGTCATGGGGGCGGAACCTGGCAGGGGTCCGCTGGGAGGCGCACCACTGACGAGACTCACAAGGTCGAAACGCTGGCGTCTGTTGCTTTTCCAGCCTAGGCTAAGCCTGTTGATTGGGAGTGACGATGATGAATTGGCTGCATTATACCAACAATCCTCACTACTACTCGTTAGTGAAATTTACTTGTGAATTGCACTGGAAGTTGTGTATCATGACTCTGTGTCACGAAGATGTTTTGCAAAGTGACAGACTAGGTGTCGTTCCTCCCAACACTGACTCCACGCGACCGATGGTTTTGTTCCCCTTTGAACTCATCAAAGGGAGATAGTTTGAGCTGGGAGTGGAGCTAAGGGCCCGATGGTTAACGGCTGATGCCTTGATCACCATGCCACTGAGATCCGTGAACATCTCTTGGCACAACGGTTAAAGATACAAAGTTGGATTTGTTTTGCGGAGTGCATTGGCAGGATCGAACTATTTCTTTGCACCATGTAGGGTTGATGCGCGGACATTGTTAATAAACGGGATGCAATTAGATTTCCTTCGCTTCTTCAGAGATGTTAGAACACGCGATCGTGCAAGCATTCCTTTGCTAATCTCAGTCGTCCCAATCCCGCCGAATTACTCAGGCAACTGACCGCTTGTGAGGACGCTCCGGAGATAAAGAGCTGGAGTTCCGTACTGCGGTTATCCAGTTGAGAATTTTCTTGTTTTCGGTATTTGTAAGGAATACTTGCCAGGATTGTACGAAACGACTAAGTTTTAATTTTCCGGACCAGCGGTTGAAGATATAACCCACTGACGTGGTGGTATTCCATCTACATCAGTTCGACGCCAGATAATTGGATGAATTTGCTGATCTCCACAAAAATCCCACTCCATTGATAACAGGACTGAAGTAACCTCCGTCTAAGCGCGAGTTATGCAGATTCCTGGCTTTGCGAACTGGTCACGAGGCTATTAAGATTGCAAAAACATCGGACGATAGTAGTTGAGCTCAATAGTGCTGCCGCGTGATCCGTATATTAGTCTGTGACAGCAACCTTGAGGGCATGTTGTCGACTGTCAAAACAAATCTTTGTTTATCTTTAAGCACTGTTATCGTGATAAATCATTCGCATAACTTGCGCTCTTCATGCGTCAAGGTTCAGAATCCTCGGCGTGGTAGGCTCGTCAAACCTTGTTGCACTTTGTATATGGGTGCCTCTTAAAGATTGCCTTGATTTGAAGTTTTAACTTGATGCATACATTCAAGATCGTCGCTTTTAAGCACACCTTGCACATTCCGTTTTTTACACCCGGCTCTGGTGCTCTTCCTTTGCTTCGCGTGAATTTCCTTGTGCCATATTTTCTACCTAGCTGTGATCCCCCGGCGTACCTTTCTCTATCTGACGTTGTCCATCCGAGCCAAGCTTCTAAAGACAAAATCTACGCACAGCACGTTGTGTTTCCTAGTGGTCTCCTTCATTTTAATGTCTGCTAGTGGGTCGAGCTACCCTACGCGGTAGGCAGCCGCATTCTGCACACCATTTATACCCATTGGTTATCTCATTTGCATTGCTCCTACTAAGTGCCCTATTTGTTTGGACTTTGGCCACCTTTTCTGCCAGGTGGACGCTGTTCCACCTTACCTTAGACACTACCCGTGTACTATCATCTACCTAGAAACCATGTGAGCCTATTTGTTTCTCTCTATCCCTTGCTCTTCCGCTTTGAGTAATCCTTGAACTTGACCTGACCGAGCTTTGTACTCCGCAAATCTTCTAGAATGATGATTCCGCATTCATTTCCTTGCTTAAGTGTGTCGTTGTTAGGGTGAAATGTGCTGCGTTGTTTCCATCGTTTCACGCATCCCACGCATTGTGCCTTAACAAGTGTTGCGCTCTTCATCTAAGCCAGGCTGTTTGTTCTCATATTTGTGCACGACCTCTGTAGCGATTGTTCGGAGCCTAGACTTAGTATTCGCACGATACTGGATAAGAAAACTATAGGCTACTGAACCTATATTATACAGACAGTCTGGGTGGAGAACAGAAAACGTAAATTAGTGTTATCATGTTTTATATAATTCAGATTAAAAACAGTAATCAACTCACGAATAAGTTTGTAATCGTAATGAGAAAGAACTGAAACTTGAAGACTCGGTACAGCGTAGTACTTTGCTAATCGGAGTCTGTCAAGGGTGAAATATTTGACCTAGCAGAGTCAAAGATATGCCAATGGTGCGAACGGAAAATGTACATTGGTTCATAATGCAGTTGTTCGAAACAAACATCTGTTGCTTTCTATGAGGAAATTAGGGAAAGGAATGGGAATATTACGTCCTCGAATAGGCACTCCAGTTTGGCTGAATATTGAATACTTTACCTACTCCTCCTTGATCCACTAGACGAACTCGAAGCGTCTTAGTTGCTTGCCAGTCTCATTGAGGAGCTCGATGGTTGATGTGTATACCAGTGTGATAACCTTTGAATGGCACTGTGCATGTATACCAGTTGAATAACTGTGGTCGCTTGTTGTTATCTGTTTGTATTGTATGACTATTTTGTGTCCCAAATTAATCGCCGCTATCACTCGGTGAAATATGGTAGGTCATCCTTCGTAATCGAATCATCGTTTGCTGTTGAGCCTGCCTACGGTAATCCACTGTCCTGATTTTATGCAGGTTTTCGCCACAATATCCTTCCCACTTTCAGTAGGGCTGTCCTCATTATGACCCCCCAGAGGACGCTGTGACATTTATCTTCACCTCCGGCGTTGAGTTTCCACAGTGTGTGAGCTCACGCTTCCTCACCTCTCATTCGACTTGCTGAGTGATCCGAGGTGCCTCCAGTGATTCCACAGTGTGTTTACCCTTACTTTGTCTGTCGCGTTTCTTTCTTCGCTCCAACGAATCGTTTCGTTTTTCTATCTTCATTTCGTATCAGGTTCGCTTGGTTCAAAAGCAAGACAATGGTTACATATATGCCATGAAAATCCTTCACAAAGTTGATATGCTGCAAAAAGATCAGGTAGGTGTTTTTTTATTTCCTTGACTTCTTTTTGCTTTTCCGGTTCGCTTCACTTGTGGTTCTTGCCTCAAGTGACTTCCTTGGTGCGCTTCTCTTTTATCAAGCGAACTTTGAAATTAATGCCGGGCTATATATATATATATTTATATATTTATATATATATATAAAGTGCCCAATGCTGAGGCTGATGTCGCATTCATGATGCTTCTTCACCGCAGTTGGGCTAAACCAATTTACACTTAAACTAGGTCTTTTTAATGTGGATAAAATTCATTACATTTTATTTTATTTTCTGCCTACTTGATAATCTTCGCCCAACTTACACATGTCGCTCATGCAAATTGTGGTAAACTTGCGTAATTTTATCGCGTGGTATTTTTAAATAACTTTCAGACATTTTGTACTTATCGCTAGCTCACATTTAACCAATTTCTTCCATATGCTCATTTAGCGAGTATTTATGTCGTCATATGCGTTTACTTTATTCGATATCGGCATTTCGAATGATTGGCTGTTATTCGACATCCCAGGTGTGGCTGCGCTTGATGTGCATGTTGACAAGGTGCCTACCTGTCTGTTACCCACTACCTCGTCCATCTGGCTCCAGGGGACAGTTGGTCGTTGTTGGAGGGGACGGGGTGCACGGTCCTTGTGGCCGTGCTAGGCTCGAAGAGTGGTTCCATGCACTCAGTGTGGAGCGGACTACGATCCAGCCACCGCCTTGTGTGCGCTTAATTCCCCAAATAGAACGTGCTTGTGTTTGCCTGTGAAGGAGTGTGGGCCGGCTCCGTTGATGAAACGTGGCCCCCATCCACATGCTTCTCGGTCTTATTCCTTCGGGTTAACACTGGATATGGGGTGTGTGTTTGGAGCTGTGAGTGGTGCAGCGCAAGCCATCCATGGTCCCTCTGTAAGCGCAGGCCTCCTGTGGCTGGCCACAGTGACAGGCAAATCCGAAACCGGATGCCGCCAACCATATATATATATATATATATATATATATATATATATATATATATATATATATATATATATATATATTAACAAATAGACATGAGCGATCAAAACCATGAAGCTCTAAGGAAGTTGCAGTTGTCATAAACGGAGAACATCACACGACGCAGCGGAGTCCATGGTTTTGTCGGACAGCACGTTCCTACCCGTTTGCCCAAGCCAAGGACTTAATCACATGGTTGTTGCTGAGGTTCGGCCGCTCTGTCGGTGTACTAGTTGTGCAAATTTCTACGCTTCTTGGAAAACAGTGGTCGCTTCTGTCTGCTATCCTCCACATAGTATGCTTTACTTTTTCGTTGGGACTCTTGCCCTTGATTTTTCTCCAACATGTTATGGTCTCTTGGGCACCACTTTGAGTCCTAAAACCCGACAATCTATTAAGCAAACGTGTTGACCTTTCCCCTCATTAATTAGCTTTTCTGCTCCTGTTATTCCATTATGATCCATATCAGCTTAGTCTGCAGATTCAAACCAGGCGGTCTTTCTCTTCTGTGAGCATCCATTACAGAGTCTCATTTCATATAATGTTTGTGAAAGTGACGAATCGCCAATCTTCCGGTCAAGTTGAACTTCGCAGCTCTTCTTTAGATCTGACCCTGTTTAAAGCATCAGACGCTTAAGCCCTGTGCATTGAGAGAAGTGGCGGATTTGTCATATATGATCACCGCCGCGATACATCACTCGCATCAGACTGCATTGTCGCTTTGGCTATTAATCACATTAGTCGATGTCTGCCGTTCTATTAAATCTTGTCCTCCGCTTCGTTCACCTTCTGTCGGTCGGTCTTGCTCTCAATGTGCTTTGTGTACCAAAATTGACCTGCTGGGCTAGAGCCTCACAATAGCACCACGAGGGAGCACAGACAGGCTTACGATGGTGCTTAATCGTTCCGATGCATATTGTTCTCCCTGGTAGGTTATACAATTCAATTGCATCGATGGTTGACAACTACTTTCCATAGCACAACGGAAGAGTTATCGGCACTCCTACGTTCAACTACCTTGTGCTTGCCTATCAGTTGGTCAGATTTATCGGTTTCCCTTCCGGTGATTCACTCTTTTCTCTTGTTCTTTTCAATTCCGCTTGACCGCCTGCCTTCGCTTTAGTACGGTGTTCTTATCTGATTATATTTTCGTTTTCTGGGTTGTGTTGATGTGCCCAATCCGTTTGGCTATTGCAATAATAATAAGCAATCGGCTTCCCACCAAAAGTCTGGCATCTGCGGACTTTGGTCCGAAACCGAAATTCTACGTGTCGGCACCTTAATCCAACTTTTATGTTTTGTAGTACGAATGGTCCTATTTATCTGGAAGTACTTTGTTCATAGTATTCTATCCAAATTCCATTGTCAGATAAGTGGTATTTGAATCCTTGTTTGTACGGACTTTGTAGCTGTTCACCCATTGTACACGCATCTGGGCGAAGTAAACCTTTCCCACCATTCTTACTACCGCTGACTCCAAATAATCGATATGAAAATCAGTGAGCAATTTGTCGGGCGTTTTGTTCGCTCAATTTCCTCGTTTTTTAACGTTTTGCCACGTACTTGGAAGCCTGAAGCCCCCCCCCCCCAATAGTTCCTACAAAGCCCTCTTTTCGTCTTCATAACCCATTGTTACTCACTGTCGTTCAGTCCGGTTCCGTTGCTTCTGTACATCTGCGTCTCAATCTCATATGTCCGTAGCTTTGTAGTGGGATCCTTGTGGAGTGCTTCTTCAACACTGTCAGACTTTTCATTTGCCAACTGAAACGGTCAGTGTCTTTGGTTATAGGGCTGCAACGTATGGGGACCGGTTCGTTGCGGTGGTGGTCGGAATTCATGTTGCCTAAATGAATATGATACACCAGTAGCCTTTTTCTTTGCAACCATGCCATTTTCTTCTAACGTAAGCTACATGCTGCATCGGCCGTCTCGCAGATTATCAAGCGTCGCCTTATCTGCTGCATACAGCAGGGCGGATAAGCGAAGACATGCTACTACTGGCGCCTCCCTTCTTTGTTTTTCACCTGCTTCTCTTACTCCCATCCCGACCCTCATTACTAACCTTCCTTCTATAATTCCCAGCTTAATTGACAGCAACCGAAGTGCCACGGGAATAGAACCATCTGCAGCCACCATCCCACAGCACCTATCGGCAACTGTCCTTTATTAGTTCACGCTATCCCGTTACCATGGCGATATTCAACGTTCGCAATTTAAGACAAACAGGTCAACTGGCTGCACTCGCACGCACCTTGGACACACTGGGTATTAATGTGTTGTGTGTCCGAAACTAGGATCAATGACCCTAACGGGGTTGTAGAATTAACCGCACCCGGCTTATCCTCTCGTTATTGGTTGCACGCATCCGGAGACGCCGATGCAGCACTCACGGGTCAAGCTGGTGTAGGTATCATTCTAAGCTTCAAGGCTGAGCCATCGTCGGTTGATTGTATCTCAGTGAGCAGCCGTTTATGTGCAGCCCGTTTGACGACATCAGCTAAGTTGGAATCACGAAGTGACACAAAACGCTGTTTGTTTGTGATTTCCCTTTATGCTCCCACTGACTGCAGTTCTAATGCTGTCAGGGACATATTCTATCACGATATGAACGCGTTACTACGCAGTGCTACTAGTTCAGATATTATAGTACTTGCAGGGGATATGAACGCACAAGTAGGGCGTCTGAGCTCTTCAGAAGCTCAGCTGAGTAGTAATTATGGGCTTAACTGCGAACGGACTGACAACGGTGAGCGTCTGCTACAACTTTGTGCGGAGCACCAGCTGTTTCTTAGTAGCACTGCTTTTAGACACAGTGAGTGCCGAAGTGCCGCTTGGCGTCCTCCTGTAGCTGGCCAGCGATGGACCCACATAGCCATAAGTTACAGATGGCGTGGCTCCATCCTGGATTTCCGCTCATACTGGAGTACCTGTGTCGACTCTGATCATGCCCTGGTACGCTGTTGTTTCTCCATGAACTTTACCGGGACGTGCTTTGTTTCCTCACCGGGGATGTGGGTGGAAGAAGAGGAGAGGCGGCCATGCGATGACTTGGTCGAGAGGAATGAAGTCCCTCACTTCGGAGCTAGCCTCGGTTGGAGCGTCACGGCTCCCTGGATGGGGTCCAAAAGACGGTTAACACATTTGGCTAGATACACTTGCTGACATGGCAAGGAGCCGACCTCAGTGGCGTTCGTACTGTGGGTTTCTTTGTCCCTCCCCATCTCTTTTAGTCTTCCCCTCCATCTACGATCTCATTTCCTAGGGTGAAACATAATAAAAAAATTTTCTTTTTGCCTAGTATCTGGCTGGAAGCTTCCCGGAACGATGCCTATCCGTTGCTGGTAGCTCAGCTGGCATGCAACTGTTGTATCTATTTTTCCTTTGTGTATTGTATTATATGTATGTATGTATTTCTTTCATAAATTGCGGCACAATAGCGGAGGTGTTTTCCCACCTCTAGCTGATGTGTATAATGATGATGATGATTACCGGGATCCGCACCAAGCGTCCCCTCCGATTGGCAACTGAGAAATTGTTTCAGCCCTCTGTCAGGCAAGCCTATCAAGCCGCATTGCGTACCGAACTTTCGCTGTCTTGTCCTAATGACACTGAGCTTCAATGGAATAGGATCTTGGCCACCGTGCACGACGCAGGAGCATCTGCTTGTGGCACTATCAGTCGTCACTGCACCAGTCACTGGATATCGGAGAGGTCGGTGAATCTGTGGAATCTAGAAGACACCTCCCGGCTGGCTCTGAACACTGTGACCAGACGGGCTATTAGGCGTGAACTACGTGCTTACAAGGAATCCAGGTGGACCAGTCGGGCTCAAGAAATGGAGGAGGCAGAAGCAGTAGGCAATTACCGCAAGCTCTTCCAGTTGGTCCGCACACTGGTCCCAGGAAACTAGGCGTACGTGAGACAATCGGAGGCAGCGCGGGTGCACTGATACACACTAAGGAGCGCCGTATGGATCGTTGGACGGAACACTTTCAAGATCAGTTCAGCTGGCCCCTTGCTCTCCCGGACCTCTTCCTACTCATGTGATGCAGGACGTGCCATGGGCGGTTAGTTTAGAGCCTCCATCGGAAGCCGAGGTCCGAAACGCGATTACAGCCCTCAATCGTTTTCGTGCCGCTTCCCTCACACGTGCACTGTTTAAGGATGGAGGTGAGGTCCTTTGCAAAGCGCTGACCTGCGTATTCGAACGTATCTGGAAGGAAGAGCGTCTCGGCTACTTGGAGAGAATCTATTATAGTGGCAATATAGAAGAAGGACAGTCGCACAGACTTGTAACCACAGGAGTATTAGCCTAACGCCAGTTGTGATAAAATTACTGGCCTCGATTATCGTACGTCGCCTCACTGCGGAACGGGAATCTCGGATTAGGAAAGAGCAGGCCGGTTTCCGCCCAGGACGTGGCTGTATAGACCATATATTCATTTTTGCGGTAGGTGCGAGAGCAGCGCCACGCATGCCGCAGACCGACATTAGCTGTGTTCCTCGATTTCAAGAGTGCGTTCGACTCAGTCCATCAATCGATTCTGTCCGAAATACTTGCGCCGAAAGGTATTCATACGGAATATGTGCACATCCTTCGTGCTCTACACTCGAACACTGCAGGTCGCGTCAGGGTCTACGGTGTCCTATCGGATAGCTTTCCGACCACACGTGACGTTCGTCAGAGTTGTCCGATTTCCCCATTTTTGTTCAATTTCATCGTGGATTCTATCATGGAGTGTTCCCTTGCGGAATCTCACGATGTAGGCGTTGAAGTGCTGTCTGGTGAAAGGTTAGTTGATCGTGATTATGCGGACGATATCGTCTTGCTTTTCGACGATGTTGTGGCGGCACAATCAACCCTGAATAGCCTGTCTAGAGTGGTCCCATTATTTGGTATGCACTTCGCACCTTCAAAGTGCAAAGTGTTGCTGCACGACCACCAGCCACTTTATGATCCCTTGACCCCTACTAACGAGGAACTCGAGGTGGTTGATCATTTCACTTATCTTGGCAGCTGCATCAGCAACGATGGGCGCATAGAAACTGACGTCAACTCACGCATTGCAAAGGTCAGAGCTGCCTTCTTGAACCTGCGGCATATTTGGCGACCGAATGGAGTTTCCCATCGTTTGAAAGGCCGTGAGCGCCATTCTGCTTTATGGAAGTGAGACTTGGCCTCTTCGGTCTGAAGATCTGAGGCGCCTTCAAGTCTTTGATCATCGTTGTTTGCGAAGCATTGCTGGTGTCGGATGGCGACAGCGTGTCCGCAATGATGATGTGCGTAGGCGAGTACTAGGTGCTGATAGTCATGCTAACTCCCTAGAACAACAGATATCACTGAATAAGTTACGTTGGCTCGGACACTTACTACGTATCCCTTGTCACCGCTTACCTAGGAGAGCGTTGTTTAGTCTGCCAGGTGTAAGGTGGCGCAAGGCTCGAGTATGACAGAAGTTGACTTTACAGCGGGAAATGAGGTCACTGAAGACGAAACTGGGTGCCGTTGGTCCGTCTCGCCTTTTGGGCTGGAGTCCACGTGACTCGTCTTGTGTTTGACTCGAGACTTTACAGGACATGGCTCTCAACCGACACCATTGGCGCGTCTGCTGCCGTCTCCTAATCGGATCTCCCTTT